GATCTTCAAAAATTTAAATGCGATGTCAACCATTATTGTTTGCCTTAATTCCTGTTCTTTTATTATTCTCTCTGTAATGCTTTTACTCAGTAACCCAGTTATAAAATATAGCAAGGGGGTGAGGTTGGGGGAAACATCTAACAGATTTCTCTCTCAAGAACTATGGAGTAACAAGCAGAGAAAAAAAAAGAGGAAGAAACAACAGAGCATGGCAACTTGAGGAACAAAATGCTCAAGGGAACGACTTCACAAGACACAGAGCCTTTTCATTGTCGCTTTTATTGCCATGAAACAACTGACAAAGACCTGCATCTGGACAAGTTGCAGAGAGACTTGTATCTGAACATGCTAAGCTGTTCTTATGCTAATGGGGAAACCCAAATGCAACTAGTTTTGACTGATGCATGTTCACCACAAATTCAGTCTTAGTGGTTATTTTCTTGCTTGGGGTGAAAAAAAAAAAAAAACAAAAAACAAAAACACGAAGCTGAATTCAGGTTTTATGAAGAGTTAAACCCAGTAAGAATTTATAAATTAGTCAAGGACGTTGTTGGCTAGAGACACTTGCCCACATTGAAATTGGTGTTAATAATTAAAATCTACTTTACTTTCAGTTTACCAAATAAATATAAGAAAACAGGTAAAATAAAATTCTAGACAAAAAAAAAAAAAAAACCTCTCTCTATATATATATATATATAAATTTCATGAACTTGGTTTTTAGTTGCTCTTGATAAAAAAAAAAAAAAAAAAAAAGAATTTTTAAATTAGGAAATTCTATTTGAATTCCAACAGAAGAAACTTACTCCCCAGAAGTGGATTTTGACTCATTATCTTCTTTATTTTGGCTACTGCTGCTGCAATCCTCACTTTCACTAGATTTGAAGAAGTTTGTAATATTTCGTTGCCAGTCAGGAGTTGGTCGAGGGCAGACAGGGTTACCACCAGCATACTTATCTACAAAAATGAAAATCTAACATGAAACACCAAAGAAATTCATAACATTAAAGCCAGCAACTAATAAAAGACAATTTTTTATTTTACTTTTTAAAAAAGTGACCTGCATCCAAAATATCACTTAAATATGATTTTCAACAGACATTTAAATTTAGAACTGAATACTATAAATTTCCCAATTTTTATTTGTTTACAAACCATTCCAGGCAAAAATGACAATGCAACAATTGGAGGAGAGGAAAAAAACTTATAGATCGAAATGACAATATAGAAAACTAATAAGCACACTATGTGGAACACAAATTTGTAAGAATCAGGATTGTGCTTGTCTCTCCCTTCATAATTCTGCACGACCATTATGCCTTGCTAATACCTCCTAAATGATGGACTGTTTCGCTCAAGTGAAAAGACAAACAAACATGCTATTTGGTTTCAGTGACAAAATGATAGAAAAGGAAGATAGAAATGTTTAATTTCAGGAAAATTAAGTTGTGAGTTTCAAATCTTTTTCATTTGTACCTCTTTAAAATAACCGGCATTCACATTTGTGTTTGTTATTGCAATATTTCGTTAAGTTCAAATGTATGAGGTGATAGGTTAATATTCATGGATATTTTCTTGTAGAACTCACCACAAGCTTATTTAATCATTCACTGAAGAATTAACATTCACCAGAGTATTAAAATAGGACAACCATGAATTTTCAACGTAAAAAAATGTTTATGAAGCAAATAATTTAAAATATTTTTGATAGAAATTTTAATTATTAAAAAAAAAAAAAAAAAAAAAAAAAAATTCCCTTTTTTAACAGATAAGTCAATCCAAAAAGTATTAAACTAGAGATTTAAATTTTGAGTGTGGGTGAATAATACTTTGCCTCACTCAGCTCAGAGTGCATCATTTGAGTGTGGGTCGGAGTTGATCATCCTTTGGGAGATAAGACTTTCCTTCTTAAATTGAGGCTTATTGAAGAGGCAAATAAAAATAAAATAAGACACGAACTTTTTGCATACTGAAATGTCATGAAAGAAATACTTACTTCCAGATCCTGATGGAGATGTAGGTTCCGATCTGCTGCAACCTCCAAGAATTTTTCGGGGAGCTCTGGCAGCAACAGCTGACAAAATAAGATGAGGAACAATACAATAATATTCGGATCATAAGAATGCAATTGATTTTAATACCAGGTTTCTAGCAATTAGTAATGTTGGTAAATGTATATCATAACACCCGAGCGCTAATATCCCTTCAAATTTTTCCAAAATAGTCTTAATTCCGTGCAAATGTATATGCTTAACTCAAATCAACAATTAGATATTGAAGAAACCTATCTTTTTGGATGTTAACGACCAGAAATAATTGGACTTATTCTCGCTCTTCTTGTCATACTTTACGGCCTTATTGAGAGACATTCACTGCTGAACGATTTCGCGCATTTATACAATTTTGGCCTAATTACTCCCTCAACGAAATTAATACGCGTTTTTTTTTTCTTTTTAATTTAAGTAAAGTTAACTTTTAACTTTCAAGTGTAGATTTTACTTATTTTTTTAAGAAGAAAGTTAACTTTCAAATGAAAATATCGACAAATAAAAGAATAACAAAGTAATTTTCAAATGTATGAAATAAGTGATAAGTGTACTTTTTAAAGAAGAAAGTTAACTTTCAAATATATGAAAATATCGATGAAAATACTTATAAATTAAAAAGAACAAAATAAGTAGGACAGTAAAGCATTTTTTAATATTATACATTGAAAATAAAAAACAATAATTAAATCAATTGTAAGAAGAACTTAAAAGCTTGGAAAAAAAATCCTACCCCTACTTAAATTAAAGGAACTTAAAAGCTTGGAAAAAAACCCTAACCCCTAACCCTACTTAAATTAAAGGAACTTAAAAGCTTGGAAAAAAACCCTAACCCTACTTAAATTAAAAAGAAAAAATAACGCGTATTAATTTCGTTGAGGGAGTAATTAGGCCAAAATTGTATAAATGCGCGAAATCGTTCAGCAGTGAATGTCTCTCAATAAGGCCGTAAAGTATGATAAGAAGAGCGAGAATAAGTCCAATTATTTCTGGTCGTTAACATCCAAAAAGGTAGCTTTCTTTAATATCTAATTGTTGATTTGAATAAAGCATATACATTTGCACGGAATTAAGACTTTTTTGGAAAAATTTGAAGGGATGTTAGCGCTCGGGTGTTACAATATACATTTTCCGTAATGTTTGTAGTTTGTATTATGAAAAATCTTTCAATAAATGTAGAAAGCCTTGTGTTAGTTAATTAATAATCTCCATAGGAAATTTAGTGTAGCAAAACTTCGGCCACTTTTTGAATATGAAAAAAAAGTTGCTTACAATGTATAAAAATTGTGCAACGTAATTTTAAGAGTTTTTAATTACATCAAAGTTTATGGAAAATAAAATTAAGTAGCAAAAACGACGTCAATATTTTCGTGTCCCAAGTTTGTCTGCATACCAAATGTTGAGTTGTCTCCCTTGAGTGATTTGACGTAACCTCATATTCTAAACATTTTCCCTCCAATAGATTAATAAAATTGGCATATTAATCATACCTACACACGATAGATAATTCAACTTATGTGACTAAAATAAATTAGTAAACTTGTTACTTTATAAACACTGTTAGCTTCTAGTCCAAACAATCATTTTCATGCTGCTATGATCTTATTAACGAACCTCAAATCTTACCAGGAACTTTAAATCGGTAAAAAGTTTTCTTGCAAGTAAAACTCAATATTTTGTGACAATTAGTTCTTTATTTGGTTGTTGGAATTTACGATATTTCAGTGTCACTGACGAACTTCTTTTGTTGGTTTTCCAAGTGGACGAAAAAAAAAAAAATTTTGAAATTAGTTTATAGAACCACTTTTACGGCCTGAATCTCACCGATTGTTAGTCGTTCGCTAACAAAGTCTTAAAATAAAAATAAGGAAACAAAACTCGACAAACGAGTGTAAAAATAAAAAGTTAGCATTTCAAAAAAAAAAAAAGTTAGCATATTTTTCAAATATTTTTAAAACTTTCAACTAAAAATGCAAGTAAAATTTATTACAATTTTTTTTTTTTAGTTTTTCCTGTCCGTGCGTAAATCTCAAGTAGCGCCGAGTTATAAAACAATAATTTTGAGAAATTTATTTCTAATAAAAAGAAAAGCGTAAAAAATTCATTCATTGCCACTTCTAAACTTATTTCTAAAAAAGTTTTTTTCGTATTTTGTAACTAAAACAAAAATGCTTGAAATTATTTAAGTCACTTTAAAGTTTCAAGAAAAATATCGTAAAGTTAAAAAGTACATGGGGAAAAGTTAAAAATACCAACTAAAAAAAAAGTTACCAAAAATAGCTGCGTGGAAATTTAATTTTCTCTACAATAATTAAACAAAAATAAAAAAAACAGTTACCTTTCCTAACAGCAGAACATCCATCGGCACGGGTACGAACCATTTTTTTTTTTTTTTTCTAGGAAAATATTTTTAAAAAATGAGGAGTTCACCAACAAAGGCTACTAAGACACGAAAAGCTGCTGCAATCTGATGGCGGGATTAAACTTCGCGCGTTGTACAGATGATTTCCGCTCAACAATAAAAATGAAGTGGGTACGAGAGTTGCTTTTTTTTTTTTTTTTTTCTTTCTTTCTTTTGCTTCGTATCTTAAAACACTTTTTTTCTTTTTAAATCAAGGAATATTTAAATGTTCAATTTAAGTTGATTAAAATTAAAATATGTCCCTCAAATATTTAATAATTACATTTAAAAAAAAAAAAAAAAAAAGTACTTCGGTTTTAACTTCGGGATCTACCGGCAGTTGTCGACGTTAAGCCGAGATGTCATGGCGACCGGTAGTTGCGGATGTAGCGATATAGTGTCTGTTTTTCATCTCTATAACGACGAGTGACACTGAGTTATTTCTATCGTTATTACTTTATCCATCCGATATTTTGTTGACGGCAGTTGTCGGAGAATCAGCAATTATATTTTTGGCCGAACGATTCTAGTTGTGTGGGGGCCTGAACTTAAGAATGCTTCGACATGATATCAGATTCGCTCACAAAAATTACGGAAGGCAAGGAAGCGAATTTGTCATCGAACATCCACAATTGCATATTTTTCGAATGCTTTACTCAACTCCTTTGGTGACTTTTGTGGCATATCTACTTAACTTGTCAGAATGGGTAAATGAGAGCTTTAATTATTCTCACTGTCTCTCGTCTAAAAGTTTTCAGTTACTGTCAAGTGGGGGTCATAAAACTTTTTCGTTAACAATCCACGTCTTTTTCTTTTAAACGGACGGAAGAACACTTACTTTTTTTTATAAACACAGCATTTCTGTTTTCTTGTTTATTTTAGATGACAATCTTTTAGTCATAGCATTAAAATAAATTATATATATATATATAATATATATAATTTGACATTGGAAAAACTGTCAAATTGTTTACAAAAAAAAAACTCTTCTCGCCCTCGAAAAGAAAAATGATTATTTGAAGTTTATATTGTTTCGCTCCTTAAAATGAATTTCGAAAATAACAAAGCAGCATAAAAAATGTATTTTAGCAAGAAAACCGGTAAAGTTCAATTTGAATATTAATGATTCCTTAAATCCCACTTGATGGTCTCTTTTGTAAACCAATTTGAATAGAATTACCGCCTGTTGGTGCTTTTAGTTTGTTTTTTTTATGGATGCTCAGTGGAATCATAATTCGACGTTAACGATATGGTTCCACAACTTGCATTTACTTTTACACCAGTGAAGATTAAATAAAGATAAAATATTTTGAAGTGATGCGAAAACGTTGCAGAGATGGGAATTTTTTTAGTATCACTGAACATCCGTAAAAAAAAAACAAACAATAACAGATGGCAGTTCTTAATTCAAAAGTAGCTTCTCTTTCTCGCCCCACCTTTTTTTTTTCTTTTTCTTTTCTAACTTTCCGAAATATTTAAAAAAAAATATTTCCCTTTGCGGTTTCACTCTTTTTTTTTTCTTTATACATGAAACATGTGTATTTCAAAGAAGCGAGAATTAAAAAAAAATACACTGATTTTTAACTGTTTAATTTGAGATTTTACTTTGAATTTTTAGAATAAACAGATTTTTAATTTCAACTATACATGGAAAAAAACGAAAGCGAATATAAATTTTGGTTTGAGTAATAAAGGATTCATACTTGTATCTCTTTTTTTACTTTTTTCTTTTCTTTAAACTAATCAATAACAACTTTGAAGAGCAAAAACGAGTTCCTTTTATATGAGAAGTTAGGTTCATTTTTTTTAAATTAGAATTATCCTTTATTGAATACAAATGACCTGTTGATCCCGAGATATGGGAGATTAAAAAGAACTCCCTCACTCAACCCTGCGGTGATAGAAGTCATGTGGCTGGCCGATAGACGAAAAAATATTGTTGATTGTTTTGTAACTTTGTTTGATAGACAAATTTTGTGGAAATGGTTTTCTTTCATCAAATCATTTTTTTAGAATAAAAAGTTTAAACTTTGTAGTTTGTTCAATGCTCTTTTTCTTCTTTGCCTTAACGTAGAAGTACAAACTAAACACGCATTGGTTCAATTGGGAAAAAAAGGTGCATATTTTCAAATTTTCAATGCAACAAGCTGCAAATTTTAATGACTTAATTAATTTTCGATTTGAATACAATGCATAATGTTTTCTGTAAGGGAATAAAATAAAGTTTTAAGGGAAATCTGCCTGTTCAAAATTAGTCTCTATTCTTAAGCCATAATTTTATTTTTTTTAATTTTTTTTTTTTTTTTTTACGGTAAATGAAATCATTTTATTTTTGTTATAACATTTTTTTCCCGCCATTTCAAAATGACCGCGGGATAAGCTATTTTTTCCCATAATTTCTTCCACTCTTTTTCTGTTGATCTTTCTTTCGTAAAGCTAAAGCAGTACTCAAGAATTTATGGCCTTAACTTGTGCACTACTGTAGTGTAAATTAAAATATTTTTTCCATCTGGTAAAAAAAAATCAAACGTCCCCGAGTACGATCACTTCTTTCAGCAATTTAGTTTTTTTCTTCAACCATTCTTTGATGTTTTTTTTTCTTTAATTGAAGTAGTGACTTTTTTTTTAATCTTGCATTTCAAACTGTATGTAAGTTTACCGCTTAAAACTAAGAAAAACATGCTCACTTGGATGTGTTTTATTGAAATAATGAAATGAATTCACTTGGCGATTTGCAAACCTTACCACAGATATTGCATAATAAAATAACTAAGTTAGTCAAAAAGATTCGACTAAAAAGTGAAAGATGAGTACGTGACGAAAAAAATCCCCAAAACTTAATAAAACAATGTTTTATCGTCAATGATATCTTCGTGTTTAAGACTAGGAAAGATCAAAAAACTAAAAATTTTCTTTTTTTAAATCATTTTTACTTTGAACATTCGAAATTTTGGTTACAGGTTTTTGTTTTTTTGTATCAACGTACGTGGGACCATAAATTTATAGAAACTTTGAGCATCTTTTTACAGTGAAAAACACTGATTTGGAAATTCCTGCCAAAATCAGATAATTTTTTAATTTTGAAATGAAACTTTCACAAATGAATGAAATTACTTTTGTTTGAAAGGTTTTTTGGGTTTGTTTTTTGTAAAACTAAAAACAGGACCTCCAGTTACATAAAAATCACGGAATCGTAATATGAAAAAAAAAAAGTCAAAATAAATTATTTAATTAGAAAAGATTTTAATTACTTAAAAATTATGAACACTATTGTGACATTGTCTTACGAAAAAAAATTTTCAAGAATTGTTTTCATTATTTTTTAAATTTATAAAGTTCTCTTTTACAATTACGTAACGGTCAAAGATATTGTTATTATATTTATTATTAAATAAAAACAGCTAATTAATGGAAAAGATTATTACTAGCAACCCCCAATATTTAAAAAAAAAAAACAAACTTGATTTTTTGTGCGTATATGTACCTGCCGATTTGGTTTTTTTTTGGTTTTTTTTTGCAAATACGAATGTCTGTACACAACAACATTTATCAGAAAATAAGATCGGTAACTAATCGTAAATTTAAAATTTGTAATTTTTTTTAATATTTCCTCAACAAGTGTCTTCATAAGTAAGAAAAGAATACTAAAGCCAAAGTACCTTAAAAAAAAAAAAAAATAAAAAAATATTAATGCTTCAGCTTAAAATTTAACATTAATAATGGGCACCTTAAAAAAAATTATATAAAAAAAAAGTGTTCACGTTGAATTTTTACATGTTTATCCTTAAATTTACTAAAAACCAAACTAAACATCAGGCTGTCGATAAAAGTTTTAAGTTTTAACAGCTGTTGACTGTTGAGTTTTATCATAAAACTCAACACCTGTTAAAAATGCTTTTCTGCAAGTTTTTAAACTAAAACTATTTGTTTCAATTCAGATTAATTAAATTTTTAGTCAGCTAATTTTCTCAACGTTTCAGAAAAGTATATTTATTTTTTAAAAGACTTTAATAAAGAGAATTGTGTTGACAGTCTTGTCAATATGGAGGATTTCATTATAATTTTTTTACTGATGATCAGAAAAAATCGGTTTGAAATACAGCAAAATATTTCGCTTATTGGAAAAGTAAATTTCTTGAAATTAAAACTAAAAAGCTTCACGAAAGACTTTTTTCTTTTTTTTTTTTTTTAATGCATTATAAATCTTTTTCTTTTGGAATTAGTAGAGTAGAACAATATTTTTTTGATTCGTTGGGTTTGATTGTAGGGGCCGCATTTTATGACCCTTTTGTGTTGTAGGGTCTTAAAAGTATTTTCAATATATTTCTTCTCTTCGCGTAAATATTGAGAAATTAACACACAGGTATAGTGGCAAAGATTTGGTTTAATTAGATTATCAAGAAAAAGTTCTTTAGAGAAAGTAAGTATTAAGTCAAGACAATTATCAAATGAGCTAGATACTGTGTGTATGTGTACACACACACACATATAATGTGTGTGCTAATTTTGTCACGACTTAATATTTTCTTCTCTAAAGAACTTAATAACCTCTCTAATTAGGATCAGAACTTTTTAGACCAAACCTTTACCACTATACCTCATTATCTTTTTAGAAATTCACACTGTTAACTCACAAGTTAAAAAAATAGTGATTTACTAAGAATAACTTAGATGTGACACAAGGATGCCACATTGAGTTAGGGAATAAGAGTGTTTTAGAGTCTCTCTATATTTCTGAGATGAGGTATTATGTACAGTATTTACATTAGTTGGACTATTGTCCTACAAAATATTTGTCACAATGTTTTTGGCTGTTGATAACTCGGCCTTCTTCAGGTGGTTGGAATTTCGAACTGAACCCTTTATTTCAATCACTGGGGTAGACTGTTCTAGTTCCACGTGCCATGTTTGGAAAAATTGGCAGGAGATAACTGACATCCATCAAACATGGCACGTGGAACTAGAACAGTCTACCCCAGTGATCGAAATAAAGGGTTCAGTTTGAAATTCCAACCACCTGAAGAAGGCCGGAGCGTACAACGGCCAAAACGTTGTGACAAATATGGCGACAAAGATGAGGACAATAGTCCGACTAATGTAAATACTAAGTGTTTTAGTATTTATAGAAATGGTACCATTGGAATGAGTGAGAGAAAAGTTAGGTTAGATGACATGATTACTTTCAATTTTATGTATGGTATTCTGTTCTAAATGCTGTGTAACCACACCCAAATATATAAAATACTCTAGTTGTTTGACTTTCTCAGGCATACTTTTGGCTTTTTAGCACTTAATGGTGGAAACCGAGTCCATTAAATAATGGGAAGGTTGACTGATGAAATATTTTCATAATGAAAGGCTAGGTTATTTGATTTATTTACAATTTTTTTTTCTCAATACATAAAAATGCTATGTTGTATAATTCCAATAATAGTAATAATAATAATTATTATTATTATAAGAAAAAGAACATTCTGAGTATTTAAAACTTTGTTTTTAATGAAAACATTTAAAGATATTAAATTAGATGAGGACTTATTTTTATCTAATGGGTCATCAACCCTTTGTGGATTATTTAAAGCTGAAATATTTTGGATTTTTTTTTTTTTTGCAAATGAATACTTGAACAATTTTGATGGAGAGAATTTTTCCATATACAAGCTCTACTATTTAACCTTGGGGGAGAAGAGATGGTTTCATGCCTTTT